TGTTAAAGTTGTATTAAAGTTTTTCTTCATTACCCATTTAAGCCGTCTCCAGCCATTATTATTATGGTTTTAATCTGATATTTAATAATTCAGAAGTCTCACACCATCTTACACCTCCTGATGGCTCATAACGCTGAAATTCCCAGTTTGATCCGTGTAGCGGGTTTGCGATTGTCAACAAAACAAGTACATCATTTTCATCTGTTTTAAATAACTAAAGATCTTGGAATATAGACTGGATATACTTTGTGTAATTTTTGAACAATGTGTCTACGAAAATCCTTGAAACGACGACAGCTGATACTACAAGTACCTCAGTTCTCTGACTTACTAGTGTTCTTATTAAATGTACTTTCAAGCTAATTAATACTCACTCCATAAGCTCTAAAGATTCCCTGAATTTCGTGGCTTCAATGGGTGATGCCGAGAACTCCACCAACTGACGAGTCATTTCTGTATCGATAAACGATGGACAGATGGCGCTAATAGTAACTCCCGATTTCTCATAATAAATGTCAGTCTGCAAAGAACGAGAATGTGTTTTAAGTAAATACCATTTAAGCAGAGAACATCACATTGTACATTGGCTTTAAGTTCTAAAGCAGCAGTAATACAAAATCAAGGTCATTTGAGTGCTTTACTAAAGGCCAGTTGAGTGCCTTACTAAATTTATTGTGTATATGTTTTCGAAAAAAAATCTTCATAAGTCAGATAGTTTTTTCTTTGTTTGTTTTAGCGCACAATTACACAATGGGCTATGCAAGCTAAATTACACAATGAGCTATGTACGCTAAATTACACAATGAGCTATGTACGCTAAATTACACAATGAGCTATGTACGCTAAATTACACAATGGGCTATCTACGCTAAATTACACTATGGGCTATTTACGCTCTATTCATCAAGGGTCAGGCATGGTCTAGTGGTTAGGGCGCTCGAATCGCAATCTAAGGGTTGCGGATTCGAATCCCGTCCCCGAACATGCTCGTCCTCTCAGCCATGGCGGCATTATAATGTGACGGTCAATCCCACTTTTCATTGGTAAAGACCAGCCCAAGAGTTGGTGGTGGGTGGCGTGGACTAGTTACCTTCCTTCTACTGTAGCACTTCTAAATTAGGGACGGCTAGCGCAGGTAGACCCTCGGTAGCCTTCCCTCTACTGTAGCACTTCTAAATTAGGGACGGCTAGCGCAGGTAGACCCTCGGTAGCCTTCCCTCTACTGTAGCACTTCTAAATTAGGGACGGCTAGCGCAGGTAGACCCTTGGTAGCTTTGCGCGAAATTCAACAACTGTTCAGTGCAACTAGTCAGCATCATTTTAAATGAACAGCAGGTTTGACTGTCACATTTATAACACACCCATAGCTGAAAGTTCGGAACGACTACAGCAACGTGTCGTAGGCTCGAACCTTGCAATTCACAGGCCAAGACGCTAACCACTAAGCCACACTCCGCCCATATATGGGAGGATTAGGAACAGTTTTCTCAAGCATGATACTTACCTTAAGTATTTTTATTATCAATATTTTATTTATAAACTTCCTAAACCTTATCTTAACTATAAGATGCTGAGCAACTTTAATAAATAAGTTTATTTCTTGTTAAGCACAAAGCTACACAATGAACTATCTCTGCTGCGTCAATCACGGTTATCAAAACTTGGTTTTCAGCGTTATAAGCTGTCAGACTTACCGCTAAGCCTCTGGGGACCTAATAAAAACATTCTCTGTAAATGATGATATAAAATTTAAAATATCATCTATCTATGTGGTAGTTTAAGTAATTAAAAAGTGCTTTACCAGTTGGTAAAACACTCGCCTGTCATGCAAGAGATTCCATGTTTCAAACTGCTCGCTGGAAATGTAAGTGGGAACACCATACAATAAATTTACGTCCAGCAAGTGGTTTTCCCACGACCACTAGATAAGGCCCGAGGATGTTATGAGAAGGGAAGAATGTGTTAGTTTTAGCTAATAAAAAGTACCTTGTATAAAAATATTATTACATTCGTTTTTTGTTTTGGATATTTTTCACTAGCCGTTCCTCATGTTTAACTGACAGACTAGACGGAAGACAACTTGATAACAGCTCTTACCGCCAGCTCTTAGGCTTATTGAAATTAAATAGGGGGATTTGACGTCACTATTATAACGCACTCATGGCTCCAAAATGTGGAACGCGATATTGTGAATCATGTGTGAACCTCGGATTTACAGTCCTGCACACATAAACACTTGGCCACGCCCAATTTATATTATTACATATCATCTACGTTTTGGAACAATCGCATAGCGTGAAAGAGGTCTTGGGTTCGAACCCAAACCGAGGACATAAACTATCATGGTAACCAGCTATAACGACTCATATATTCACCCACTTCTATTTCAAGCGAGTTTTGGTGTGATTTATGGTGCTTCATGGAATATCATCGTATTTCTGGTGGTTTGTTCAGGCAGCCAAATAATGCTGATATCATTGTTTATTATCAATGTTTTTGTTGTTGTTTATACGATATGGCAGTATTTATACACCAAAAACGTAGCAAACTATAGTTAATAAATAATGTAATTCTAATAAGTTTTAATTATTAATTAAGAGCTAATTCTATTTTTATCTGTGTCCAAAGTTAGTTTTAATACAAAAAATTGTCAGTTTTGGAAAATTTAAGTTTATCTAGTAAGCCACCTGGTAGCTAAGCAGAAAGTTTGGAAAATTATAACGCTAAAAATTGGGTTTCATTACTCGTGGTGGGCAGAGCACAGATAGCCCATTGTGTAGCTTTGTGCTAAATAACAACCAAGATAAATATATAATTTGAGGCAGCGCCCTCCAGTGGCATCTGCGTCCTTGAAAATAGGCAATTACGAAGAGTTATTTTTATAAATTTTAAGGCAATAATTTCTCGAGTTATAACCAACACAAACAAACTAACTTAAAAAAAAAGCAAACCGTCGTGTCTCAGCAAAGTTTATAACATACTTCGGGTATGAAAGTATATTTCTCTATATATGTCGAAAGCAAATGTTTCTCGAGTTATAACCAACACAAACAAACTAACTTAAAAAAAAAGCAAACCGTCGTGTCTCAGCAAAGTTTATAACATACTTCGGGTATGAAAGTATATTTCTCTATATATCAAGTACTTTACGAGAGAAAGGAAGTTAGAAACCTTAATATATTATACATTGGAAAATATTGTAATTCATGATAAAACAAGTTGATACTTACACCTACACTTCGGGTGTAACCAACCACCCCGTGTTTACAGGCACAATATACAGGTCCTAGTGGCACTGGAGATAAGCCTGAAATAGACAAAAATGTAAATACGTTAATCGCCATGTGATAAACAATTGCGTAGCACATAACTAAGCACAAACAGAAATTGTTAAAAAAATAAGGAAATATAACTATTAATAAGAATAAGAACAAATGATATAACTAGCACCAATATAATTTTGCTTCATAAGAACGGGAAATAACATTGAAAAAAAAATTTCCGTATCTTGTCCCACTTTTTTTTTTTTTAAGACAACGTAAATCCATGGTCCCTAGAGATGACGCCACCATCCCACTACAACTGTATTAATATTCTTGATAAGTTCATATTGTATCTCGAGCCGGATGAGCAACACAGTCCTGTCACGATAAGCAATAATGAATCAAAACACCACCACCACCACGACAGCAATATCCGCCGTGTCCGATAGCCAAGAAACATTTGTTTTTAGAATACGATTTCTGTGGTCATACAATTAGTCAGACTTTTTTCTTTTTTTAAGATATGAATTAATATAACCAATATTCACGTGCATACACAGTATCTTCTCCTATATATCGCATTAACGTGTTTAGTTGGTTGTGGCAGTGATTCACGATAGAGATGCTTTATCTAATATAGGCTTAAGTGTAGACCTACGCTTCACTTAAATACGATATGTGGCACCTTCAACCTACACAAATCTTTATGTGACATATGGCCCAATCAGAGAACCAATGTCCAGACATAACCACTCCTAATTTAAAACTACTACGACTAAAATCAGGGCAATCGGCTAGTAGCATCCGCCGCTTACACGGTTACTCTTAACCGAATATATATATATATATAGTGGTGGGGTTGACTGACATAGCTGAGATTGCGGAACGTGTTCAGTGACATATAACGGACTCGAACCCTCTTCCGATACGCAGACTCGCACGCTAATCACTAGGCCACGCTTCGTCCTCTTACCTCTATTTAAATCAGCCATTTTTTTTTTTCATTTACGAAGCAAAATGATTAGTTTAATTGCTCAATTACGTGATATTAGTCACTGGCTTAATGGGAAACATGATTTTAAACAGTGTATTCAAACATGATTTTGAACGTATTCAAACATGATTTTGAACAGTGTATTCAAACATGATTTTAAACAGTGTATTCAAACATGATTTTGAACAGTGTATTCAAACATGATTTTGGGTTCGATTCCCCACGGTGGACAAATAGACCAATTGTGTAGCTTTGCACTCAGAAAAATAATAAATCCTGCCAGTCAAACTGACAGTACTTTCCAGAGCAAATTTTGAATACACTGTTCAAAATTATGTTTGAATACACTGTTTAAAATCATGTTTGAATACACTGTTCACAAAGGTAGCTTGCAGCTTTATGGGAAAGCACAGAGGTGGCAAAGGTGGCGCTGTGATTAACATAGCCTCGACAGCAGGTAGAATGAAATAGAAACATCGCATATGTATATTTTATAATTTAAATTAATCTCAAATTTCAACACGATTTCCTAATCTCCATGATTAGATATACCTAGCACACTATCATATTTGTTCTTCTGTCATTAAACATTTATAATTTTATATATTAAGGCAACGTATTAAATCGACATCTCGTAGAGCTTTTTTTTTTTTAGCGATTTCGGAAAAATTCAAATTATGTTGTCCCCCGGTGAATTAGCGGTAAGTTTACGGACTTACAAGGCTGAAATCCTAGTTTTGATGTGTAACAATATTTCTACGTGTATTTTCTTCTGTTTTACAGATGGGTGTTATTTGGGGAATCTTTGTTCCCCAAATAACACCCATCTGTAAAACAGAAGAAAATACACGTAGAAATATTGTTACACATCAAAACTATCTTTGTTCCCCAAATAACACCCATCTGTAAAACAGAAGAAAATACACGTAGAAGTATTGTTACACATCAAAACTATCTTTGTTCCCCAAATAACACCCATCTGTAAAACAGAAGAAAATACACACATACATTTTCTTACATGTCACTACCTCGTTAAGTGAATGAAATATTATTGCGAGAGCAAGAAAAAATAATATTTGTTTGACTCAGCTAGTAAATACAAACACACACATATATATATATTCTGGCCAAAACGTACCTTCTAAAATGCATTTGGCTATAACTTGATAAATACTGTAAAGACCTGATATAAATAATTTCTAAAACTTCGACTAGAATTCGATGAAAACTTTATTTTATAAGTGTTAGAAAACATAGCTTACGCAATCATTGCGTCGCAATAGTTGGGATAAAGGGGGGGGTTAACCCATGAAAATGCACTTTTTCTATCTTTCCACAGTCCTGCAAACACGGAATCTGCAACATTAAAGTCTGACTTTGGTTTGTTTTGAATTTCGCGCAAAGCTACACGAGGGCTATCTGCGCTAGCCGTCCCTAATTTAGCAGTGAAAGACTAGAGGGAAGGGCAGCTAGTCCTCACCTCCCACCGCCAATTTTAACATATATTATTACTGACCAGTTTGACACGTTCGAGTTTTAACATATGCTATTACTGACCAGGTTGACGCGTTCGAGTTTTAACATATATTATTACTGACCAGGTCGACGCGTTCGAGTTTTAACATATATTATTACTAACCAGATTGACACGTTCGAGTTTTAACATATACTATTACTGACCAGGTCGACGCATTCGAGTTTTATGATATATTATTACTGACCAGGCTGACACGTTCGAGTTTTAACATATATTATTACTGACCAGGTTGACACGTTCGAGTTTTAACATATATTATTACTGACCAGGTTGACACGCACGAGTTTGCTCCAGTTGTTCTCTCCAGCGATTCCTGCGTTATTTACTAAGATGTCTACTTGTCCAAATACCAATAAAGTCTGCCGGAAAACACCTAAAGAGGAAATTAAAAATAAAACTATTTTAACAACACGAAGATATTTGAAAAAAAAATGCGTAACAGTGATTATCCCTGTGAATAAACATTTAATTCTTAATACAAACATGGTAAATTACAAGTCCAAATTATTTAACAAAACACAATATCTTTCGTTATATTATCATATGTTGTTTAAATATATGATTAGAGTTTATTATATGATTTCAGGTTTTCGACATAAACCATGGTTAACCATCCTGTTATTCTGATGAAATATTTACACGGGACGATAAAAAAAGTGTGAATGTTTACAAATCAGTAAACTTTTATGACGCACGAAGCACCGTAAAAGTTATTCGAAAAAAAAAAGAACTTTTTTGATTTATATTTTTTACCTTCGATATCTGTTTCGTTTTGCACATCGCAAGGAATATAGATGGCGCTGTTTGTGCCAAACTTAGAGTTTAGTTCTTCAGCTGTTTTCTGTCCTTGTTTGTTGTTAACATCTGCTATGCAAACCTATAATATAAGATAAATAAGTAGAAAAATGTGAAAGGTGATAAAATAAAATTAGACTTTTAGAGAAAAAAAAATAACATTTAAAAACTATGATAATAAATTTATTAACTTGGTGACGTTTCGAGCAAACACTCTTTTTTCAAGCCAGAAACATGCGCGTGGTTTCTGGCTTGGAAATAGAGCGTTCGTTCCTCATAGAAAAGCCACTTTGGGCTATCTACTATGTCCACCGAGGGGAACCGAACCCCTGATTTTAGTGTTGTAAATCCGTAGATTTATCGCTGTCACACCGGGGGACCTGTAAAATACATACAAGCTGTTCGATATCAAAGAGTTTGTATGTATTAACCCTGAAGAAGGTGTAAAAGCGAAACGTTGGTAGTAATAAAAAAAATCTTGAGTGTAAAGGTGGTTTATCTAAGCTTTTATCACAATGTGCAAATCCCCCCAGTGTGCACTTCGAACTTTGAATGAAAAGAAAAAAGATAAATTACAACGTTTCGACAAGTTTACTTGTCATCATTAGCTACAACGTAGAATGCTGTTGCTCCTGCTGTGTCTGGATAGGCATTCGGTCGTTGTGCGTGACCTGGGAGGGTCAGGTTTTATTCAGACCTCTTCCTCCCTCCTTTACTATTGTATGATAAACTGTCAAATGCTATAGTACTATTCACGAAATCAGGGTTTGAGCACGATGCTGAAACTGGGTTGAAACACTGATTCTACTTCCCTCTTCAGGGCCAATTGAACACTGTTAAATGGTAAACTTAATCAATTGAAAATATATTGACCAAATGACGTACGAGTGAATGTTATAAAATTACATTTGAAAATATAACCAATTAAACCACACCAATCATAAAGCAGCTGAAATTCCATTGGTGAATGAATTTAGTAGAGAACCAGGATATTTGTTTATAGAGGCTTTTTACTTTCTAAATCAAACCAATCATAAAAATTAAAAAGCCTCTATAAACAAATATCCTGGTTCTCTACTATATTTATTCACCAATGGCATTTCAGCTGCTCTCATTAATAGGACTTCTTTGACTTTGGCAATTTTTGTTTTCCTAAGAAACTTGGCTTTGTAATGTAGTTAGGATTTTCATTGAACAAATATAAACACTACTATACGTTGATGACGTATTTACAGGTTTCCAATATACAACAAACCCAGTTTTTTTGTAGAAAGATTTAACAAAGAAGTGTAAAATTCACCATAGATTTTATCAGTTTTATATGTCCTTGTACACAGGTCAGATCAAGGTTTCTCCTTGCAAGCTTCCCAAACTGATTCTACTTACCTTGGGATTCTGCTCGCCACACCTAGCAAACAAAAGACAGCCATTTTAAAAAGTTTAATTTCTAAAACTACAATTAGATGTACTTTCGCAGGGTCCCCGAAAGCGTCTTATTTCAAGAATAAATAAAATCAAAATTGAGAGTAACTAATACTTTTGTTTCTTGCTTCTGAAGTTCATATGCGATGCTCTGTTGTAGCCTACAGAGTGTATAATTCTTCTCGTGATTCATGGCATGCGCACGTTTTACTGACGTCACGACAGTATAAATTGCAACGTTAAGCGTACCTTATGTAGCGTCATTTTACTGTCTACTGATTGACTGACAGACAACAACACACTACTGTATAATGGTGCGAGGGGCTAAAACAGGTGACCTCTTTAGGCGGCCTTCGGCCCCTTTTCGGGGAAATTATTTGTAGGCCCCACGACAGTTTGACCTCAAGAATTCAAAAGCTGAAGTCTTGTTTTCCTAACATGAACAAATTTCCTGTAACTATAATTAAAAAGAATTATTAACACTCACAAACATGATAAATGTGATGTCCCCGATAATTTCAACATAAACAAAGTCCAGCTCTTTACCAAACGTTCCCGGCCTTTCTCATGCTCTAACAATATTATAGTTTCGTCCAGTTAAAACCCATAATACTGACGTAAAAGTTGAATTTAATTTTACTCCCATCACAAAATGATGCAGTATTCTATCACACAAATTCCAAGATAACCATATCATGAATGTTGCTGACGATTTTAAATGCTAAACCATATCATGAATGTTGCTGACGATTTTAAATGCTAAACCATATCATGAATGTTGCTGACGATTTTAAATGCTAAACCATATCATGAATGTTGCTGACGATTTTAAATGCTAAACCATATCATGAATGTTGCTGACGATTTTAAATGCTAAACCATATCAT